GATGTGGCAAATGCAACCTCCATGGGCTGCTGGGAGAATCCACCAGGTACAGAACTGTATGACTGCTCTGGGGGGTAGTGTTTACTTGTGCATAATTTCTTTACGCAACCGCTGATGAAATCCACACTGCCGCTGTGCCTGCTGCAGAAACTGAGCACATTTCTCAAGGACATGCCACCCGAAAGCCAGCAGGGGCATGAATTTTAATGAGTATATTGGGTTACCCACTTGAGATATTCCCCACCAATAGACAACCTAACACTAGGAATAGCAAGCAAGAGCTAAAAATAAGGAAGAAGAGTCACCATTTAAGATCAAAATTTGAAAAAAAACCCACACCACATGACTTCTTGAATACTTGCACTATTACAGGAGAGAAGAATGTACTTGGGTTAAATGATTTCTTCAGATGGAGCTCCAAGACAGCATTTCCACATACCAAATATTATTTTGTTAGGGGTAAGTGGTCAAAGAGCTCTCTCCCCCAGCCAGACTGAGAACACCTGGAAAGACCATATTTAAAGAAGTAGGAACGAGAGGAAGATGCTTAAAAGAAAGAGACATGAGCATGATGCTGTGGTTCTAGAGGGGCACAGTTTTTCAGTGCAGTTTGCAAACATGCAATAGGCCTGGAGAAACTCCAGGTGCAACTGGATGGAAAAGATCTTGCAAGACTGCTTGAAATGAAACTACATGAAGACTGATGAAAGTGGACCAAAATCTGACAAAAGCCAAAACTGCTTCTGATGCAACAAGGGACTGAGGATGCTGGGCACACAGACTGCAGGAAGGACAGACTGTGCCAAGTGACATAGCACAGAAATTCTGTTTTCATGAACACAGCCACTGTGGGGATGCCATCAAGAACTGCATGAGAAAGCAGGACACTGGCACAGGTTTCCAGGGAGGCTATGGGTGCCTTAACCCTGGCAGTGTTCAAGATCAGGTTGGATGGGGCCTTGAGCAACCTGGTATAGTGGGAGGTGTCCCTGCCCAGGGCAGTGGGGGTTGGGACTAGATGATATCTAAGATCCATTCCAACCCCTTAACATCCTATGATACTATGATTAGTTTAATGTGATGGCATTCTAAAGTCATTATCCAGTCTAATCCAAAAACCTTCATACCCAGGTGTAGCATCCACTTGCTGTGTTGTGAAATGAACTCTGAATAATCAAAGCTGAGTAAGCAACTAAAGAGACAACTGAAAAATTTATCTGGGCTCAAAAATGCCACAAGGGTGACTGTGACTCAGTCATCTTGAATCAATATGAACCAGCAGTAAAGTTTCTAAGCTGACCTCTCGCAGTGGAATCAAGTAAATTCAAGGGATGAAAGTCAGCTGCACTTCCAAATGTGTCGATGAATTTTTTTTTTACAATGGCCCTTTCTGGGAGTTAAAAAGACTTCAGTTCCCCTGCCCCTAAGTTTCAGGCACACAGTTCCAATGAAGCTATCTGAAAAGCATGACTCCAAGATAATCAAACAGGGGCTCACAGGTCCCAGACTGCAACCTTCTACCAAGTTCACTGCTGCTCTACAACTGGCAGATCCCACAGCTCTGCCTCTCCCACAACCAGCTAGCATTCAAGTAAGTCTGTGTTACAATGAGAGCTTTAAATACTAGCATTCTATGGCAGCAAATGGAAGAGGTGGACACCATCTGTCAAATTTTTTTTAATGAACCCTACTCCAAAGGAAATCTTATGCATCCTAACATTTTACATATTGTGCCCAAGATTTAACATTTCTGGTAACTCTTATGCTGCAGAACTGCATATGTCTTCAACTGTATTGAGGCTGCAAAACCCAAACTCACACTCGTTGCTTCTTTTATGGCAACCTTTCATATCTAAGTTGAATTTAAGCCTCATTCTGGAAGTGCAGAAGCACAGAATGTTTCATGTCTTCTTCGCAGATTTCAAAACCAAATATGCTCAATTTGATTACTGGTCATTTTTAAGGGATACACAGTAGCTTGGACGGATCCCTGCTGACAGCTGGCAGACTTGAAAATTGAGGACCTCACTTTCTAGCTTTTCCTCTTTTTCAAAAGGTGAGGAAAAAATACTTGAAATTTGAGGTAAACATGCTGTTCTCCCTCTACTCTCACTATGAGAAATACTTGTGAGTATGGCAGTACAAGGGAAGTACCTCGCTGCCCAGTTCATGCACGTTCCTAGGCAATTTCTTACAGCTGCTGATTTTGAATGCAATATTCTCAGTTATAACTCTCTCTGAATTCTCACCTTCACCTTCTGCTAGGGCTTTTCTGAACAGTTTATACAAAACTTCACAACAGAAGATTTGGTAGATAAGGGCACTGAAAAACATCCGACTTCTGGAGTTTGCACTCAGCTCTCTCCCAGCATTGCCTTCAGAATATATGCTGCTTCACTAACACACTGGCAGAAAAACATGTATGGCACTCACCCATTTGGGTTCATATTTTTCATTATACTTCCTAAAAAATCCAGGAAACACACCTTTTTGTGATTACTGCTGTAAGATTAACAGCATTTCTTCTCTCAGACTCCCCTAAAACATACTGTCCCAGTACTGTACCTTTTCAATTGGAGAGACCAGGTTTACTGTTATCCCTACATTTGTTTCACTTCACTCTGTAGTGTCTACAGAGATAACAAAGATGACAAAATCCCCACCCAACTCAGGTGTCGTTACATATCCCCCTGACTACATTTAAAGAAATGATTAAAAAGTTTGTTTCTGCAGGGGTAAAAATCATAATCTCAACCTATAATTTACTGAAGTATCTTTTACACTGGATACTCCTTCAGCTGTCTTGAAAAACACAATTAGTTTGCCAGACTTGTATATTGTCAGTACTATGAGTTAGTCAATAAAACTTACCACCACAGATGGTACATAGGCTATCAGCAATTTTATTGAAGTACTCCTCTGTTTCAATACAACTGAAGTGTACACAAAGAATCAGTACAACAGTTTCATATGTGCTATGAAATTATTAGCTCACAGATGTTTTCTTCAGTAGCAGTAGAACTGCAAACAACCAGCTGATGCTAACAGCTTCTAGCAAACTTCCAACTAAACCATAAATCTCTGCCTGGCAAAGCATATCGATGATAAGAGAACATCTATCTCCTGATTATTTTACATTGTGAAAATCAAAGCAATGACAGGGCAGAGCACTGATTTCTGATCGAGCCAGGGACAGTCACCATGATATAAACAGTTTCTATTTACAAAAAAATGATGAGATGCGGTTTCTCAGGATTGCAGACATTAATCAAGAAACAAACCAGGACTTTTCAAAAATGTCAGAAGGCAAACACCACATACTATTGCACAAACTCCTGAGGAACTTGGGTCACCTGAAGTGTTCATAGGGACCACTTCACATCTCACAAAAGCAGTGTAGACAAAGAGCACTGCTCCAAGACACTCCCCAAAAGGAAAAAACCCATCACGTGGGCCATCATCAGCTTTACTTCAGATAGCAACTATAGTTTTTCACCTGTGTTTCCTATGTAAACTGGCCCAACATGGATAAACTGAGTCTGAAATACACTGGGCAGAAAGGCAGTGAGAAGAAATGAAGAAAGTAACAGGAGAAGGGGGTGCAAGACAGGGAGCCTTCAGAGGAAAGGTATTGACTGAAGGATTTCCAGCGGGACAGACAGAAACCCACTGTAACAAGAGCTAGGTTTACATGGTCAAAACCTGAAGGTGATGTGGTGAGAGCCTTGAAAGGTGAGAGCACACCCCACTGAGCCTCACCAACCCATGGCCTCCACGGAGGAGAATGACCACACAGTGTTGCTTGGTGTCAGACACTCTGTTAGGACAGGGACAAAGACACCAGCCACTCTTCCAGTGAGTAACAGACACAAACAGGAAAGAAAGTTCTATTCTTTCACTCACACATTTTGGTTCTGAGGAGTTTTTCACATGCATGCCACACAAATATATACATCAAGGTAGCAGTGAAGTGGCAAATTCAAGGAGGAAATTCTCTTAATACAGTCCCCTTGTGATGAAATCAATAAAGCTGAAAAGCATGTGCACACATCCTCTGTGATAACGCTATCTTGTTATGTGCATAGTATAGACTATAAAAAACACAAATTTTTTTATATATAAAAATATACTGCTCTTACGCATTTTTTATATATAAAAATATACTGCTCTCCCTATAAATCTTGTTTCTTGCATCAAAGAAGTTGAAGCAAGCAGGCTAGATGAGGGTGCAGGAAGTCAGATACCCTTCATCAAAGAAGTTGAAGCAGGCAGGGTAGATGAGGGTGCAGGAAGTCAGATACCAGTCTTTTAATCTATGAACTATATTCTTCCATACCTCTGAGAGCCACAGAATATTCACAGCTTTCCAAATAAAATCGATCAAGATGTGCTTGGACGTAAGTGATACATAAATGTTAGGTATTCTGAAGCATTACGTCTTTCACCTTGAAAAACAAGACTCTTCAGGTGGAAAGTACTTTTGCCCTGCCTTTCCTGACTCTCTATCTGCAAAAACAAGTGCCTTTTCTCACCTTTCACCTCAAAGAGCTAGAAGGAAGGAAGGGAGAGAAGGCAACTACCTATGTGAAGAATCTGGCACAAGGAATTTAGTAACACTATTTTCAAAGCCAAGTACTAATTGTGTGCAACAAAGGAAAAAGAGCCAGATTCTTAAAGAATGAAAATCATACATGAATAAGTACTGGCTCAGTATGTAAGCACTTTTTCCAAGTACAATGGAAGTGCAATCCTTTAAGAGGGAGAAAGACCTTAGATATTTAAAAGATTATACATCATTACGTATGACTGCAAGAGGAGCAAATATAGATCATAGGGTTCTCAAAAAAGTATGAGAAGTGTTTACAAACACCACTTACATGCAAAACCTGTATAATGGTGACAGAATATATAGATACATGTTCACAAGTGTGTAACAATGCATGTTTTCATGCTGACTCCCAAGGAATAATGCAGTCAAAACAACACTTAAAATTCCATACCTTGATTATTTCCACCAACTGATCCACACCACTGTCACCTGGAAAGATCGGTTGTCCTAGTAACAGTTCAGCCAATACACAGCCTGCTGACCACACATCTAAAAAGGGAAAAGTGGAGGACAGGAAAGGTATCAGTAAGAGATACATATTGGGATATATATATATATATATATA